CGCACACACTCACACGCACACACACACTCACACACGCACACAGACACACACACACACACTCTCACTCAGTCACTCGCACACAAGCGCACACATACACACACACACACTCTCACTCAGTCACTCGCACACACACACACACACACACACTCTCACTCAGTCACTCGCACGCGCACACACACTCACTCAGTTACTCGCATGCGCGCACACACACACACTCACTCAGTTACTCGCATGCGCGCACACACACACACTCACTCAGTTACTCGCATGCGCGCACACACACACACTCACTCAGTTACTCGCATGCGCGCACACACACACACTCACTCAGTTACTCGCATGCGCGCACACACACACACTCACTCAGTTACTCGCATGCGCGCACACACACACACTCACTCAGTTACTCGCATGCGCGCACACACACACACTCACTCAGTTACTCGCATGCGCGCACACACACACACTCACTCAGTTACTCGCATGCGCGCACACACACACACTCACTCAGTTACTCGCATGCGCGCACACACACACACTCACTCAGTTACTCGCATGCGCGCACACACACACACTCACTCAGTTACTCGCATGCGCGCACACACACACACTCACTCAGTTACTCGCATGCGCGCACACACACACACTCACTCAGTTACTCGCATGCGCGCACACACACACACTCACTCAGTTACTCGCATGCGCGCACACACACACACTCACTCAGTTACTCGCATGCGCGCACACACACACACTCACTCAGTTACTCGCATGCGCGCACACACACACACTCACTCAGTTACTCGCATGCGCGCACACACACACACTCACTCAGTTACTCGCATGCGCGCACACACACACACTCACTCAGTTACTCGCATGCGCGCACACACACACACTCACTCAGTTACTCGCATGCGCGCACACACACACACTCACTCAGTTACTCGCATGCGCGCACACACACACACTCACTCAGTTACTCGCATGCGCGCACACACACACACTCACTCAGTTACTCGCATGCGCGCACACACACACACTCACTCAGTTACTCGCATGCGCGCACACACACACACTCACTCAGTTACTCGCATGCGCGCACACACACACACTCACTCAGTTACTCGCATGCGCGCACACACACACACTCACTCAGTTACTCGCATGCGCGCACACACACACACTCACTCAGTTACTCGCATGCGCGCACACACACACACTCACTCAGTTACTCGCATGCGCGCACACACACACACTCACTCAGTTACTCGCATGCGCGCACACACACACACTCACTCAGTTACTCGCATGCGCGCACACACACACACTCACTCAGTTACTCGCATGCGCGCACACACACACACTCACTCAGTTACTCGCATGCGCGCACACACACACACTCACTCAGTTACTCGCATGCGCGCACACACACACACTCACTCAGTTACTCGCATGCGCGCACACACACACACTCACTCAGTTACTCGCATGCGCGCACACACACACACACTCTCTCTCTCACACTCACTCAGTCACGCGCACACACACTTACTCAGTCACACGCACGCATGCACACACACAGACACGCACACACACTCTCTCTCACACACTCACTCACACTCACTCAGTCACTCACATGCGCGCACACACACACACTCACACACACACACACA